TACTATTTACTCCAATCTCTACTGTTCTATATACTATGCCTGGCATTCAAACAAAAGATACATAAAAAAGCAAGGGGAAATGTAAGTCCACTCTTAAGAGAAAAGTAATCAATAAATTCAGACTCAGAGATGACTTAGGTGTTGAAACTATCAGGGAATTTAATAAAACTATGATTAACATGTGAAAGACTTTAATGGAAAACATGCATGAACAAATGGGGAAGTTTAGCAGTTATTAACTATAAGAAAAAATGAAGTGGAAATGCTTGACATGAAAAACACAGTGATATAGATGAAGAATGCCTTTGACAGTCTCATCAGTAGACTCAAAACAGCTGAGAAAAGAATCCGTGAACCTAAAGAGAGGCACAAAATAATCCAAATTGAAATGCAAAGAATAAAGAGAATGAAAAACAGAAGGACAAATATTGTATGAGTACATTATTGTAAAAAGCCAAGGAAAAGTTTATATATATGGAAGGAAATTTTTTTGTTGGTTACCATGGATGCGAAGGTAGGGGAAGGAAAATTGCTAGATAGGTGAAAATATATGTATATATACACCAAAGATTATTAGTGGCTGCCAGGGGTAGGAAGGAGGGGAAAAGGGGAAGCTTTTGTTTTTGCTGTGGGGTATTGAGTTTATGGACTATTTTGGAAAAGGATAGCAACAATGGTGGTACAACATGAAAAATGTCATCAATGTTCCTGAGCTGTAAATGTGGAAGTTGTTATGTTGGTGAATTGCCTGGTGTATATGTCTTCACTACAATAAAAGTAAAAAGTAATACTAATAAAAAATGAAAACAGACAACTATGCAAGTGTACACACATGCACACACCCAGAACAGAGTGTCCGAGAGGTGTGGGGCAATTCCAAATGATGTAACATATATGAAGTTAGATTTCCAGAAGAGAGCAGAAGAGAAGGAATATTTGAAGAGAGAAAGGCCAATGAGTTTCTGATTGTAACGAAATACGTCAAACTACAAATTCAAGAAGCTCAGAGAACTCCAAGCATGATAAATATCCCAGCAATGAAATAAAAAACAAACACACACACACACAAAAAAAAAAACCTCATTTTTTCGTACAACCCACTGGCTGTCAAGTCGATTCTGACTCATAGCAATCTCACAGGACAGAGTAGAATGGCCTCATAGGGTTTCCAAGGATGCAAATCTTTACGGAAGCAAACTGCCACATCTTTCTCCCTCAGAGAAGCTTTTGGGTTTGGACTACTGACCTTTTGGTTAGCAGCTGAATGCTTTAACCACTGCACCACCAGAACTCCTTTTCCATACAAGGACAGAGTATTCAGTACCAGAAGCCCTTATACTATAAGAAATGTTAGAGAAAGTTCTTTAGGCAGAAGGAGTATAATACCAGACAGAAGAAACCTGAATCTACACAAAGATATCAAGATTCTATAAATAGTTAAAACACAAAAAACCAAACCCATTGCTGCTGAGTCTGTTCTGACTCATAGCGATCATATAGGGCAGGGTAGAACTGCCCCCATAGGGTTTCCAAGGCTGTAAATCTTTATGGAAGCAGACTGCCACATCTTTCTCCCAGAGAGGTCGGTGGGTTTAAACCACTGACCTTTTTGTCAG